CCCAGCATCAACCTGCTAGGCTCCAGCGATCCTTCCACCTCAGCCTTCCAAGTAGCCAGAACTACAGGTGCGTGATACCATGCCCGGCTAAATTTTTATTTATTGTAGAGATGAGGTCTCGCCAAGTTGCCCGGGCTGATCTTGAACCCGTGGTTTCAGGCAATTCACTCACCTTGGCCTCCCAAAGTGCTGGGATTACAGGCTGAGCCACCGAGTCCAGCCTAACACATTTCTAAATAGAGCTCAGAGCAGCAGGTGCAGAAAATAAAACTCTGGAGAGCACCAGGAAAGAGTCTGCAGCCCCCTAGGTTGCTCCCACATGCCTCTTACCTCTGGGCCACCTTCTCCATGCTAGAACACCAGCTACAGCCAGGACAATGGCGAGGACAATGGAGATGGAAGCAGCTTTCATCAAGAGAGAGATCGTTTCTGATTCTGAAAGCAAGCAAATGAGGAAAAATCCACAAGTCCCCTTCTCATGCATGTTAACTTTCTGGAACTTCCGTCTTTCTAACTTTTTTGTGATCATTAGGAAGCCCATCACTATTTTTCTTACTGTTTCTTCTCACTTATCAATCTGATGGATAAGGAATATGTACTTGTGTTTTCCTGTGTTTAATTTTTTTTTTTTTTTTCTGAGTTGGAGTCTCACTCAGTCGCCCAGACTGGAGTGCAGTGGCAGCTTCCGGCCACTGCAGTCTCACCTCCTGGGCTCCAGCGATCCTTCCACCTCAGCCTTCCGAGTAGCCGGAATTACAGGTATGCGCTACCATGCCTGGCTGATTTTTTGATTTATTGTAGAGATGAGGTCTCACTGCCCAGGCGGGTCTCGAACTCGTGGACTCAGGCAATCCACTCACCTCAACCTCCCAAAGGCGCGGGATTATAGGCTGAGCCACCGAGCCTGGCTCTCCTGTGTTTAATTTTTAAAAGTTTTATGCTGAGCACAGTGGTTAAAGCCTGTAATCCCAGCACTTTGGGAGACCAAGGTGAGAGAATTGCCTGAGCCCGTGGGTTCAAGACCCGCCTGGGCAACATGGTGAGACCTTGTCTCTACAATAAATCAAAAAATTAGTCGGGCATGGTAGCATGCACCTGTAGTTCCGGCTACTTGGAAGACTGAGGCAGAAGGATTACCAGAGCCCAGCAGGTTGACACTGGGGTGACCGTAAGTGTGCCACTACACTCCAGCTTGGGCAATAAAGTGAGACTCCAACCAAAAAAAAAAAAAAAAAAAAACCAATTAAAAAAAAATTTAATTTGTACTATAGTAAATAGCAACAGAATAACCTACAGAAACAAAAGCTCTTTGGGGTCCTCAATAATTTTTAAGAGTATAAAGGAGTCCTTGGACTGAAAACTATGAGAATCACCAATTTAAAAGACTCATTCTATGTTAAAAAAAAAAGAGATAGGGTCTCGCTATGTTGACCAGGCTGGTCTTGAACTCCTGGACTCATACGATTCTGCTGCCTCCACCTCCCAAAGTGTTGGGATTACAGGTCTGAGCCACCACACCTGGCCGAAAAGACCCATTCTAAAGCATACCGGGTGATGGCATTGGTCCACCTTTCCTTGCCTGGAAGGCAGCATTGCTTCCTGCTCCCTCTTTCCTCAGTCTCATTCCCCAGACAGCCATGACTCCCATCCTTACCTTGGGGAACCTGATGAACCATGTGTAGGTCGCAGTGTTTCACATGGCAGGAGTAAAGGTCGCTGCTCTCGGGATCCTGCTCAACAGACACCCACGTCTGATAGGTTCCATCCCCACTGGGAAGAATGTCTCCATAATCCATTTCTTGGACAAGTTCTTCCCCATTTTTCATCCAGAGCATGGAAATTTCTGGGGGGTAAAAGCCATAAGCTCTGCAGAAGAGAGTTGTAATCCCTGGAAAAATTTCTTTGCGATTTACTCTGACCAGTGGGGGCTCTAGGAAGAAGAAGCCAAAGTCAAATCAAAATGTACTGAGCATACAACATTAGAACTTGACAACTAGCTTTCTCAATTAATTTTTTTCATTGCAGGAAACAGCTAATACCAAGAATGACCCAGAACCCAGGTTCATCAATAGCAAACCTATGTATTGTGTACTTCCCACAAGGGCAGTGTGCTAGGTCAAGAAGATCGTAGAGGGGAGCCATGCTCCATCCTCCAAGGGGGCAAAGCCATCTGGCTTTGAGCATTTGTAAAGGATGCTGGGATTGTTTGTTATTAACCTTCAAAATACCTTTGCGTCAAGGAAAACAGATCCACAAAATGTGTCACTTTTCCTGATAAGGAATTCCTCAAGAGACTGGTGATTAGAATTCCTTGTTCCCCCGTCTGTGTTTAGTGCAAATAAATAACACCGCCATCTCTGTTCGACTTTGGACCCCAATTTCATTGTGTACTCAGGCTGGCATTTTGATGACTGTCATCAGACACCAGCATATGTAATAGATCATGCCATGGTTGTGCTCTCAAAGGGGATACAGAAATTCATATCATAGAAGGGCTTCAGCAGCGACAACAAAGAATTATCCATTTGTGACCTTGCTTGTTGTGACTACTAGGTTAATTTTCCATATGGTCCTGTCCTGAATGTTTGCTGCTGAAATTGGGTCCTGGAGCCATACAGGGACCAATAGCTCATCTTTGAGACTCACTTTCTCACCCCACCTTATTATTTGCCACCCCCGAACGGGAAACAGCCTTCACTTCAACAATACCTTCCTGTTCTTTTCCCCAAGGTGTGGAAGTTAATAATAGAAAAAGGTTTTCCAACATTAAAAATAAAAGATATGGAAGACTGAGGCATAAGGATTGCTGGAGCCCAGCAGGTCAACACTGGGGTGGCCGTGAGTGTGCCACTGTACTCCAGCCTAGGCGATGGAATGAGACTCCAACTAAAAAATAAAAAGATTTTTTAAAAACGATAAATGCTACCAAGAGAAACTGCACTTTTTGACAGTGCCTGTTAGAAATTTATCCTAGCTCCTTTTCTTAGAGTTGGTTTTGATCCAAAGGTTGAAAATCCATCAGGACACTCATGGTAGATGGAGAGGAGGTTTGGAGGGGAAGCAGGTAGACTCAAGTCGAATTTTCTACACTTTTCCCTAGCATGATGCAGAAATAATTCATTTTAAATAATAAAATCATACATAAAAAGTTTTGTATTCAGTAAGAATTGACCACCTGAATCATATTTTTAAAGTATAAGAGGAACTCTTTGCTGGAAGGAATCTTCTCCTTAATTATTTAGTGAAGCAAGGGCCCTCTGGCTTCTCTGGAAGTCCAGATGTTCATTCCTACTGGTGTTGATGAGTCCTTAGTTACCACACAATTTTAAGAATGCTTCACCTCCCTAAGTATTTGCCAGCTTATCCTTGACGGGAGACAAAAATGACAGAGTTTGCCTCATTGGATCCCCAAAAAGGAGGTACCCGTGGAGGTCTCCACTCTGTCAAGACTAGTGTAATTGCTTGGTGAAGTAACCAGGGAAAGTTCTCAAGGGAAGTTAAAGATCCAATAGTCACCTAAGGAGATGGACTTGAGGATAGGGTGAATGAACCTAGGATAGAGCAAAACAACAAAATCAGTTGTTCTGAGGATGCAGGAACAAGGCGTTCTCACTTCCCTTTACCTGTCCTCTGGAGAGTCTCTTTCCCATACTCCAGGAATCTCTTTAGCCAGGCAATGCATTCTTCTTCCAGCCAGTTCTTCTGATACTGTAACTCATGCTGATTGGCCTCCCATGTCCGCTTGGTGATGTGAGCCACATTATCAACAGCCATCCAGGAGAGGGTGTCTTTATTGAAGATGATGAAGTCCTGGCCGTCATACGCATATTGGAGAAACCCCGTGGTGCTTCCGTCCTCCAGCAACTCACAGCCAATCATCCTCTGGTAAGTGTGAAACCCTGGAACACACGCCAGCCACGAAGGGGTCTACACAGGGACAGAGAGGGCTTCGGGTGATGGGACCAGGGGCATGGTTGGAAGCACCCTCTGCCCTAGATTACATCACCCACAGGCCTGCCCTGGTATCATTGAGAGATGGAAGTTCCCTCTGTGGAAGCCCACGTGGGAGTGGTAATTCCTGCCTTGGGGAGTGATTCTACCATGGGAATGATTATTGATAAACTGTGGTATTCCTACTGCCATGGAGGAGGGACAGAGGTAAGAGCCAGAAATGTCCCTGGGAAGCTAACGTCATTATGCACAAGCAAGTGGATCACTAAGCCTGCCACCAGGAAGTAGATGGATACAGAATGGAAAGGAGATGCGTGTCAGCCCTGAAAGGAAATAGGATGGGGACGGGTGGGGAGGAGGGGATGGGGCTCCTGGGAAAAGGATAGCTGGGAAGACACACAGGGCAGATGGGAGCCCTGACTCCATGACCTGATTTCCAGGCGTTGCCAAAAGCCATGTTGGCAACTCCTCCTTGGAGGTCACCTGGGGCCTCTCTGCTGGGTGGGTGAGGGGAGGGGCAGGCACCTGCTGCGTACACACCTGAGTGGTTGTGGAGCCTCTGCAGGTGCCTCAGTTCCACCTGGAACGCCTGCTGCCAGCCTCTCAGCAGCTGAGTGTACCTCTCCCAGTGGTCCGGCGCGAGGTGCTCCACCATCCATGGGGCCCGCGGCTCCTTCTGCCGAGTGACACTGTCATACGTGGTGATGGGGTGAGAGTCCACGTACCCCACGGAAATAAACTCGGGGACCCCGTGGCCAGGGTCTGAAACGCCCAGGCGAAAGTATCTCAGAGAGTGCATCCCTGGGAAGGAGGCAAAGAAGGAAGCTCTGTAGCGGCCCAGATGAGCCGGATCCACAACCCGCATCCCTTAACTCCCACATGAGTGATCCATGTTCAGCTGCACCCACGGCCCCTCCAGGCGCAGCTGCTGTTTCCTTTCACAGAGTGACAGACACCAGGAGTCAGCCTGGAGAGGACTTAGAGCTCTAGCCCAGTGGCTTGGACCCCTGTTTCTTCAGGTTTGGAAATTCAGGGTGGAATTTTCCAAGTAATCTCAATTTGTAAGGAAACTATAGAGTGCTGCTCTGGCCTTTGGGGGAAGGGCCTCTCACTGGGTCCCCAGGAGGTGCTGTCCCTGCCATGACTTCAGAAACTCTGAGGGCTTGAACACTCTGACAACCCAAGCCCTTTGTTTTACCAAAGAAGCTTCTGGTAGTTAAATGAGGTCCCCCTACTCCACCTCTGTGCGTGACTGTGTGAGCACACACACACACACACACACACACACACACACACACACACACACACACACGAGGACCCCCACTCCACCTCTGTGCGTGACTGTGTGAGCATACACACACACACACACACACATACACACACACACACACACACACACGTGCGCGCCAGGTCAGCAGGAGAACCCCCATTTGTGCTCATGGTTCAGGCTTCTTTTTTCTTTTTTTTTTTTTTGAGCTGTAGTCTCTATTACCTAGGCTAGAGTGCAGTGGCACGCTCACGGCTACCGCAGCCTTGACCTGCTGGGACTTTGGAGATCCTTCTGTCTCAGCCTTCCAAGTAGCTGGAACTACAGGTGCACACCACCACGCCTGGCTAATTTTTTGATTGATTGTAGAGAGGAGGTCTTGCCAAGTTGCCCAGGCTGGCCTTGAGCCCCTGGGCTCAGGCAGTCCTCTCGCCTCGGCCTCCCAAAGTGCTGGTATTACTGGCATGAGCCACTGTGCCCAGCCTTGGACTCAGGCTTCTTAAGAAAAAAAATTTTTTTTTGAGTCGGTGTCTCACTCTCTAAGACTTGAGTACTGTGGCAGGATCATGGCTCACCACAGCCTTGACCTTCTGAGTTCAGGTAATTCCCCCTATCTCAGCTTCTTGAGTAGCTAGGCAGGCGTGTGCCACCACAACTGGCTAATTTTTAAATTTTTTGTAGATAGGAGGTCTTGCTATGTTGCCTAGGCTGTTCTGGAACTCCTGGGCTCAAACAGTCTTCCCACCTTAGCCTCCCAAAATGCTGGGATTACAGATATGAGCCACTGTACTTGGTGAGAAAAATGTATTAAAAAGCACAGTGCTTTTCTTATTATACCAACCCACCTGTATTAACAGCTTTCTTACTCTTTTTCTATTTTTTTCTTCTGTCCAAATATCACTATAAGGATTGCAACAATCACCAAGGGTTAAGGCTAAACTAAATTGAAACATAACAGTGTGGCCCTCTCTTCCACTCCACACGGAACTTCTCTCAGCTTGTCCCGGAAACTCATGGGTTGGTAGAGACAGACAAGGTGGTTTCACCATAGAGTGATGGGTGTCACAAGGGGATCCAAGCTGGTATGGGCCCTCGGGGAAGACTTTGCAGAGAGGGTGATATCTTAGGGATAAATACGAGGACAGGTAAGAGGTGAGCAGGCGGGGGGGTGGGGGCGTGCAGAGGGCAGGCAGGGAACAGGGCGGAACCCCACATGCAGGCAAGAGGTTCAAGAAGGTGGGGTGTGTGCAGGAACCAGATGCCCTAGGACACCTGGGGAGCAGCATCACGGAGGGGACTGTGAGAGGTGTTGCCTGAGCGGCAGTGAGAGCATGACTGAGAAGGCCATGGCCCCCATGCCATGTCAAAGGCAGCAAGGGCTTTCTTCCCTTTCTCTGCCCAGTGGTGTCCAGAAACACCTGTCTGAGCCCTCTGTTACCTCCTGCCATCCTGACCCACCTAAATCCTTCCAGTCATCAAAACCTATCTCCAGAAACACTCCTAGAACCAGCCCTGACGTTTGCATGGCTGAGTCAAGATGACAAATGGAGGCCCCTATACCAGAGATCCAGATAGTTAAAAGGAATAAATCAAGCTAACAAGCTATTAAATGTGTTCTGTCCTCCTACCTTGAGAAATAACCCTTCATATGACCTCAAAGACCAAGTACAAATGAAAAATCTCAGATTGTAAAGTTCTGAGCCTGAATGTGGTAGCAGAGAGAAGCTGCCCCCTCACCCCCTCCAGCCCCTGGCCCTCAACCCAGACCAATCTTCTTTTGCATCTTTTGCTCAGTCCAGCCCTGCCAAGGGCTTTGTGTCCACTATTAAACACCCCTGCTCTCTTATCCAAGCTCCAGCCATAAGTGCTGTCTCTTGGCCACCCCTCAGGCCTAGCAGAGCCCTTATAAGCAGCACAGTTCACCCTTGGGGGACGGACGGAAGGAAGAGTGCTGGGTGAACCTCAGCAGCCCTGAATTGCCTGGGTACCTAGGGTATGGCCTCGCATGGCAAGGCACAGACATTGGGTGGCTGCCTCCCCTCAGCCTCTAGGACTGCTCACTCTGTGGGGAAGGATGTGGATGGTAGAGGCCCAAGTGGAGCTCTTGGAAGCGTAATACCCTATTGGGTCTTCTCTTGCCTGTTTCTAAGAGCTGTACTAGACATCACTTCCCCAAAGTCTTTCCAGACTGCCTAGCCCACTGCTGCTGATCTCTGTAGGAACTCCTAGCACTTGGATCTTCTGATGTGGCCCTTGTCACAGAACCTTGCATGGGTGTCAGGCTCCTGTTCCCCAGACTGAATACCACTTAGTGATGCCCATTCCTTCCTCTTCATTTACAAGCATATTGTTAAGACAAAAAAATCAGCTACCTGAGCGCAGAGACTCATGCCTGTAATCCTAACATTTTGGGAGGCCGAGATGAGAGGATCACTTGAGCCAGGAGTTTGAGACCATTCTAGGCAATGTGGTGAGATTGTGTCTCTACAAAAAAATTTTAAAATTAACCAGACGTGGTTATGCATGTCTGTAGTCCCAGTTACTTGGGAGGCTGAGGCAGGAGGATTGCCTGAGCTCAGGAGTTTGAGGCTGTGGTAAGCCATGATCCTGCAACTGTACTCCAGCGTGGACAAGAGTGAGACCCTAGATAGGGTCTCACTAAATGGATGAGCTTCTATTTAAGCAAGTTTGTCTATATTTTTCTTTTCTCTAAAACTGCTTCTGAAATAATTCATAATGTGCAGATTGTCTTTTAGAACTACCACCCCACACCTGGGGTACCCTTACCTTACTCACTAGGGGAGACAGGAAGCCCTGAGATGGAACCAGGCCTCCTAGGGCACCTTCTGACTGTGCCAATTCTGTAAAATCACTGTAGGCCCTTCTTTCTCCCTGCTCCTCGAGCTATGGTGGGTAGTTTGGCAGGGCTCAGAGCAGGTACTTCAGCCTCTGGGCTCCCTCCTCACAGGTCTGTCCTGATTGACAGCTGCGATGCTGAGCAGGAGGGAGGCTGGTCTCCCTCAGGCATGGGCAGCATGAGGGCTCCCAGGCCCCTCTGTGTTGCTTTGACCTTTTACTTCTCCCTTTCTCTTCATAAAAGGGTTGGCTCTTATGAAAACAAGAACCAGAGAGTGAAGCAGAGCACACATTCCATCATAAAACCAACAGCTGCCATATTCTGCCTTCCATTTGCTCTCCCTTTGCTTACCTGCCACTTGCGTCTCAATCTTAAAGTACTTAAGAGCTGGGACTTCAGCTGGGCTCTGTGGCTCAGCCTGTAATCCCATGCCTTGGGAGGCTTAGGTTAGTGGATTGCCTGAGCCCGCGGGTTCGAGTCCCGCCTGGGAAACTTGGTGAGATCTCATCTCTACAATAAATCAAAAAAATTAGCCGGGTGTGGTAGCGTACGCCTGTAGTTCCAGCTTACTTGGAAGGCTGAGGCAGAAGGATCGCCGGAGCCCCAGCAGATCGAGGCTGTGGTGGCCAGGAGCGGCCACTGCACTCCAGTTTGGGCGATAGAGTGAGACTCCAACTCAAAAAAAAAAGAACCGGGACTTCATTTTTTTTCTTTTGTAAGGCCTAGTGTGGGGAGCTTGGAACATGGCAGGAGCCTGGTAAATGTTTGGTAAATTGTTGGTGACACCAGACATGGTGGCTAACACCTGTTATCCCAGCACTTTGGGAGGCCAGGGCAGGATGATTGCTAGAGCCCAGGAGTTCAAGACAAGCCTGGGCAACATAGCGAGACCCCACCTCTACAAAAAAAAAATTTTTTAATTTGCTGGGTGTGGTGTTATGTGCCTATAGCCTAACTACTCAGGAGGCTGAGGCAAAAGAATCGCCTGAGCCCAAGAGGTCGAGGTTGCAATAAGCCATGATCATCCCACTGCACTCCAGCCCGGGCAACAGAGTGAGACCCCAACTAAAAAAATTAAATTAAGAAATATATTGTTGGTAAAACACTTTATTTCTCTACTTTGGCATAATAAAATATGTGAAAATGAATAAAAATCTATTTAACCTTGAACTTAAACTTTAAAACCCATTTTTCATTCAAGGGAAAGCTGGTGAACAGAACACAGAGCTGAAAGCTAATCTGCATCCAATCTGGAATTTGCAGAAGGTACATATATGCTGGAATCTGCAAACAATTCTGAGATGGTGCTAATTCTTCATATCTGGAAAGGTTTCGTGGCTACTCTGGAGATATGCAACTATCTAAAGGAGGAGGCAAAAGGAGGAACAAGTCAAGAACATTCATTCTCACACTTTATATTCTTTTGTATATTCAACACCTCGTCTTTGCCAGATAGTCTTCTAGGCCCTGAGTACACATCAAACAAAACAGGGAAAAATGTCTGCCCTCATGGAGTCTACACTCTAGTGGGGGGATGGGGAAAAAACAGACCATACAAAATAAACACAATATATAATTTTTAAAAGTGCAGTGGAGAAAAATTAAGCTGCAAAGAGGAATAGGCAACACCATTTAAAATAGGAAGGCCTCACCGGGCTCGGTGGCTCAGCCTGTAAT